TAATAATCGAATACAATAATAAATGACAACTACCTCCTTAGGGATGTTGAACACCTTCATATCGTGGGAAGACACCCAGGATCCCCAGGCTTGTAACCACGGTCTTGACGGATACGAGGACTACAGCAGAGACCCCGAGAGGACGCCGATGCAGTGGGACAATTCGACCTTGGCGGGTCTGTTTATTCTTTTGTTTCCATCTTCAATTTCTGTCTGTCTTTATTTTCATGTGATTGTATCTTTTTGTTTGGTGTTTTTTTATGTATGACTGTATGTTTTTTCTTTTCGAAAAGGAACTCTGTGTTTTGTGTGATTTTATCTTTTTATTTAGTGTTTTTTTTCTCGTTGTTGTATTATTTTCTTTACGAAAGGGGAAGTCAAGCGTTAGAAATACCAGTCTTTACAATTTTTATGTTGCAAAGATGCAGAACAACTTATTTCAGCTACTTTGCCTTACATGTGGAAGGTTGCTTACAATATACATGAGAAAGCTATTTGGCTTTTCCTCTTCTTGGAATGAGATCGTCTGGATATATATGAATGCACACACACACACACACACACACACACACACACACACACACACACACACACACACACACACACACACACACACACACATATATAAATAGATGAGTAGACATATAGGCAGTTACTAGATATATAGATAATTAGATAGGCATATAGATTTATAAACAAACGGATTGATCGATTGATTGTTAGATGCAGATATATAGATAAATATATATAGAACTAAAGATATAGATATTGATACAGATGTAGATAGATGTAGGTAGATTTAGATATTGACACATACAAATATAGGTCTGTAGATATTGATATAGATAGAAAGGTATTCTCGACTTTCGTATCCATACTCCTGATGTCAGTAATAAAACTTTAAAGGGTACTTGACATAAATAACCTTAATCATGATGGAAATACATGATAAGTGACTTTTATCTTATCAAAAATTAAACCTTTGCTTCAACCTCTTTGCTCTTCCCTTGTTATCAAAGTTTATAATTGCAAGCTAATTTAAGTCACGTAACATTTTTTTTCTTTCTTGTCTCGTAAAAAAAAAATCCTTTTTCAGGTTTTACGACAGGCAACAGTACGTGGCTGCCTGTCAACGACAACTACAAGGAGCTCAATGTGAAAGCACAACAACACGCAGAAAAGAGTCACTTAAAAATTTACGAAGAACTTGCTCGTTTGCGGAAGGAGGAAACGTTTACGAAAGGACTTACTGCCTATCCCGTGATCAGTAATGAGGTTTTCACTCTCCTGAGGTATTCAGTTTCAAGATGCGATATTTTAAATGGCGTTTTATTCCTATCTTTACAGGTTGTTTGAGCTGGTTTACGATTACTATAATAGGATTTGTACAAAAACATCCGGAAATGACATTTAATTGAGAATTCTACTTTATCTTATTTCAAATAGGTGAAAAGGCAAACGCACCGAACTCATCTCTTAACATCCTTCCAGATACCTTGAAGGCTACGAGAGCTACCTGCTGGTGATCAACACGTCGGAGGAGGAGCTGGAGGTCGACCTCCACCAGCACGCCAACATGGAGCTTCCGCCGACGGCCGAGGTCGTCCTGCGCTCAGTCACGGATACAGCCGAGGAGACCGTCCCAGGGTGAGCTTGATCGTGTGTTTTGGATGATATATACACAAGGGGAAACTGTTTTAATAGCATCAGTGTACAATTTGAACATGAACGTTGATACATTTTCTGGGGCGCCGAAATCTAAGGTGGTTTGGGCTACCTTGGCTAGGGGTTCGGACTTACGAGCCAATGGTTGAATACACGAGAGATTAGTTTTACGCACTTTCAGAATGTTTTAATGAGAACATGTAGTATTTTGGAATCATTACATTAATTTCATGAAATTTTCAGAAGCATTGCATGAACGTAATAATATAAAGGATAAATTTCTTTTCAGGTCCGAAATACACTTGAGCGAGGTAAAACTTGTGGCAGGAGAAGGTTTATTATTAACATTTACAGAATAAGGCAAATATATATGTATTTTTTTGTCAGCGTCCACTATATGTTGTAATGAAGGATTGTGCAGACCTAGAAAATAAATGATCGTATTTATTTGCATTTTTTGAGATATCCCTAAATAGTGAAATGAGTGTTTTAAAAAATATTGCCTGTGGCTATTATTAATGGTTTCACTGCCATTACTTCTTTAGTCTTATCAATGTCATTGTTATAATATAGTGTAGCACTTCCATCGCTTTACAATTCTCATTTTATACCAAAAGGGGAAACGAGAGAGGGAAGGAAAAACAAGAAAAGGAAATAGTGCATATGGGAGGTGAATATATGAGGAAGGAAAGGGGAGGAGAGAAAAGAAAGAGGGAGAGGGAGAAGGAAAGACTGAGGCGGGAGAGATGGAGAGAGAGAGAGAGAGAAGAGAGAGAGAGAGAGAGAGAGAGAGAGAGAGACAGACAGACAGACAGACAGACAGACAGACAGACAGACAGACAGACAGACAGACAGACAGACAGACAGACAGACAGACAGACAGACAGACAGACAGACAGACAGAGACAGAGAAAGAGAGAGAGAGGGGGGGGAGAGAGAGAGAGGGGGGGGAGAGGGGGAGGAGGGAGAGAGAGAGGGGGGGAGGAGGGAGAGAAAGTGAGAAAGAGAAAGAGAGAGAGTGACCAAGTGACTGAGTGAGAGAGAGAGAGTAGAGAGAGAAAGAAAAGGACAGAATAGAGAGACACAGAGAGAGAGAAATTCTGAACTCTGTTAAACCAAAATGTATTGCATTTAATGTTAAAACTCATTACAGTTTTACCTATTAAACTAAGCTTGTGCATTGTAACTTGAAAGTGATTGTGAATGCAAAAAAAATATATTAATGTCAGCCATAAGAAAAATTGGATTGAACTTCAAATTTCAGAAAGTAATGAAAACACTGGTCATATGAAAGAATTGCAAGAGTGAAGTTTTATTAGATATTCACCAAAAAAAAACTCATCCACACATCTATGGGCTTGGAGAAAAAAAATCACGACAGACAGGCAGAAAAACAGAAAGATATACAAACAGAGACACAGACAGACAGAAAAAAAGGCAGATATTCAGCCAGGTAGGCAGATACATAGATAAAGGTTATATATATAGTGTTTTTTCTTTTCCTTTCTTTTCTTTTTTTGCAATTTCTGCTCAATACACCAAAATAAAATATAAACAAACACATTCTGTAATTTGTATTTCTTTTGACCATTTCAAGTATTGTCATTAACAAACTACACTACAATAGGTTATATTAAAATTAAATCTAAGTGCAAGGCTTTATTTCCTAGTGTCACATAAATGAACAATTAATATGAAGAACTGGTTACTAAATATTCTAAAACTCACAGGTTTCATAATTATTTTCTTTAATGGGGAATTATTTCTCTATATACCAGTCATGATAATGGATATGAACTTATGAATTATGTAAATCATAAAGTGAACAATCATTTTTAAAAAGTGCAAAAAAATAAATACTTTCTCAAGATAATACAAAAAACAAAAACACATCACTTTGATTATATGGAAAATGGGATATCTTTAAACACAAATTGTAAACAATTTGTTGTTAACATATTCATAATTTAAATAAATAAAAGTATAATCTGCAATCATTACCTTCCTTTCTCCTTTACTTTTTCTAATTCATACAGCACGCTACCATCCTAAAAAATAAAAATCATAGCATAATCTTAAATTAACACTATACATGGAATGTCTGCAGTAGAAACTCATTATAATGATGAACACAGTATTTACAAATCAGATTCACATAATGGAAATATCTGAGATCAGGATGCTATACAGTAATGACCAAGTCCATTTATCACTTAGGAAAAAAAATAAAGCTTACATTGGTTATTTCCGTAGAAAAAGATAAATTCTCAGAAGCTATCTGTGGAGTATAAAACTTATAGGCTGAAAATTAAAAAAAAAGAAACTGCTATGCAATGCAATATTACATTATTATCTAAAATAATTGTTTTCTCTATATAACATATCATTAATGTTATGCTGCATCTGATAGCTTTATTAGCAACTCTAAAGATCCTGAAATCATTCATATCTGATAAAAAGAATAAAAACACAACTTCAAAATACTGGGGCCAAAAATAATGTTAATCAATAATCATATAATACAATCTGTGGGTGCCCTTGTCTTTTATCTACTTAAATATCCCAGCATATACATCTACAAGTTGCTAGTACATTATCTAGTCACATACACAAGTTAGCTTGGATTAAATCTCATCCTCAGAGTATTTTCACTGGCTCAATAAAAAATGTATCTAGACTTGTAATTGTTAGGCAACTACTGTTCACAACTATCATAGCATGTACATATTCATTTTCATTTGTCAATACCAGATAAACAACAAACATTTTGTATAGTTCTAAACACTAAATTCCTTGTGATATCTCAAGGTCTTAAAACACAGCACACGGTAATAATTTATAGCGAGAAACAGTGACGTCATTCACTGCCACAATTTAAATTCGAGGATGATTTACTACAAAACTTTTGTCTCCATTTCTAAAGAGGCGAGAGTAATTTCATGGAGTTCCACATCATACACTTTTACATCTTACATTGTGTAATCATCAAAGCACAATATGGTATGTTTTTCCTTACACATATATAGTACAAACTGAACTCGAAAAGTACCCTGCTTTGATGTTCATGTCAAATCTTTTCAGTGTAATGTCCATGATATAACAACTATAACCACAAGCATACTGACCATCAAAATTAATATTGAATATCAGAGAGCAACTTTCTCGTTAACACTCTTGACTTTTTAGCAGACCAAACACAAAGGAATAAGAACTAGATTTAAACTTCAGACCTTTTTATGCATGAATGCTGAGGCAGAAACAATCTTTCAGTTTTTACTATTTAGAACACATTCTAGCAACTGTATTCTTAGACCTAACCACAACCTAACTCAAGGGGGAGGGGTTCATAATGGGATTTTTCAAACATCATACAAAAATAAACATTCTCAAAACCATCAACTTTTTAAAACGCCATGAATTTACTATATAAAATAATGACACTAACAAGACCTTTAGCCATCATACTCTCATTAAGTTCAAAATATGCTTCATAATTTATTTTTTGTAAAATAATGACAACAATAATAACAATACCAATAATAATAATAAAATAAAAATCATGATCATGGTTTATGTAAATGACAGAGGAGGCTCACAAATCATACGTGTGCTCCCTTATCTGCATTACCTTTCAGTCACTGAACTTTTGTGGTTTTCCTCTAAGAACAAAACTTTAACACATTAGGACGAAACAATCAAAGCCTATTCAAAAGCCATTTTCAATAGCTTGATGACCTTTGACACCCAATGACTATAAAGTGCATTATTATGCCTATGAATATATTCCAAGATTTTAAAATTCCTCTATTCAATATTTTGGTGATATCTGGAAATTGATCATGCAAAAATCTTTGCCAGTTTCCGGGCCTCTACTTGCAAATGATATGAATGAAAATAAAGAGCTGTAGACTTCAAATCAAACAGAATTTGCAATATACATTTGAATATCTAAATCACATCATCAGGTGCAGCACATCCTATTTAGTCAATAACTTAACAGAACTGGACTCTCTTGTACCATTTTAATTTTCTAATATATATGATATTCTCACAATCTAATATGTGACACACCATTAAGTATAAGCTATATGCCAAATGCTGAAAAAATACAAAACAAACATTGTGACTGGCCATGTACATAACTGCCCTTTTTCAAAGCTATTGCTCAAAGAAAATACTAAATACTAAAAAGATACAAAAAATTAATAGCATGTAAAGAAAAAAAACTAAACAATATGAAATACAAAGAATTACAAAGAAATAGATTCCAGTACAGCACTACAGATGACAAAGAATATAAACATTTTTCTGAGCAACCGTCTTTCCTCCTTTTACTACAAAGCTTTTTCTTCAGGTGGAAGAATAGTATTTTACAAAGTAAAAAAAGAAAGAGAGAGATGAGTTTCTAATCTGATAAGACCAATTTGGTGCTACCTACAGTATTGTTTTAAAAAATAGAAAAATAATGACAAACCACCTAAAATACAAAAATATCTATTTCCTTTCCCTTCCTTTTTTGTATTCTCTCACTTGTATGCTTTGAGAAATGTAGGCCAAAATATGCATATACATGGCTGTTGACACAATATTCAATGGAAGCACGGAGTTGGGACAAAGCCTACAGCACAAATCTTTACTCCACTTTAACAATCAAGGTATGAAGTACAGGACGATGTTCCACTTGTCATGGACGACACAAGTGATATTTTTCTCTGAGAGCTGATGGCAAAATTTCAAATAATTCATTACCATTTAACAAAAATTATTGAAATAATACATGCATAACCATGCCATTCCCTATGTTTGGAAAGGGCGAATGCCAATATCTTTTTTAGTTTTTTTTTCTAAAATTTTCAGTGTATTCCTACTTTAGCATACCATATAAGTTTGATTACTTTTTAAATCATCTCAACTTACATCATTTGATTACAAAAATTAATTCTAAACAAACTGAATATTCTGCAAGGGATATATCTGTTTTGCAAAACTTATTATAGAAACTTATGTCATAAGATTTAACATAAAGATCATAATGGCTACAACATAACTTAGTATCAATATATGATGACCCAATATACTATTTTGAAATCCATTACTGTATATTGTTATGATAATGTTACTATATACAACAGGATTTGAAACCTTTTTTAGAATTTTACAGAACTTATTTTCCTTAAATGATACTTAAAATGTACTCCTGCATTATGTGTTCAATAAATATGGATATGAATGACCTATTATGAACAAAATATATTAAAATCCAGTAATGCATAATATTTTTCTGTCATAAATGCATCACAGATTCTGGAGGTAAAAAGTCAGTAAACAAAACCACTGCATCTATAAAGTGTTGCACTTTGCAAATGCTATATGCAGATCAAAACATCATTTCCTATAAAGTCTAGTCCCCTTCGTACTAAATATATGACACTATACATACATCCATGTGTATAAATATGTCTGCATGTGTGCATTTGAGTACCACACACACATATTTACACATTGCAAATGCATATAATGTTATTTTTCTTGCTGTATGAACTACTGTATGTTCTGTTCTCATACACAATTCCAGAAATTCTAATCTAAATCACTTATACACAATTACAGAAAAGATCCTTCTTCAATTGCTATATATAAATTTCATGTCAACAAATTTCCTAATACCTCAACATTCAATGTGTATTATCTGTACAGAAGTAACAGGCAGTCAGTTTTCCCATAAAGTCAAATTGTCCTAATTTCAGTCTGCAATATACTTGTTTCCTAAATGAGATATGTTTATGGACTATATATCTTAAGCCAAAATAGACGGTCAATGTACCATTCTCACAT